GTGATTTGTTTCTTTTCTCTAACTGCCTGTAGGATTTTGTTCTTCTGTTGGGTTTCTGGGATCTTGACTATTATATGTCTAAGTGTAGATTTTTTTTGATCATGGCTAGTTGGAGTTCTATCTGCCTCACTTATCTGTATGTCCAATTCTCTACCTCTGTCTGGGAAGTTTTCTACTATTACTTCTGTGAAAAGTTTTTTTTAATGTCAATTGTACTTTCTCCTGGTTTTTTGTGGACTTCTGTCGGTCTTATGTTATTTTTCTTTGCATCATCTAGCAGCTGCTGGATTGATTTCTTGTGGTCCTTTGCTATTTTTTAAATCTCTGTTTTCATGATCCATCACCGCAATTCTGTCTTCTATATCTTATATTCTATCTTCACAATCCCTTAATCTGTTGTGCATACTTTCAATGGAGTTTTTAATCTCCTGGATATCTGTTTGAATCTGCTTCATGGATTCCATTTCTTTCTTATGCTGGGTGATCATGGTTTCCATTTCTTTCTTATGCTGGGCATTTATGGCTTCCAGTATGTTTCTGAGATCATCTATTTTTTATGTTTCTGTTCTAGAGCCTCTAATCATGTCTTTCACTCTGCTCATCATCTCTGTAGTTATCTGGGAGATTATTTCTGCTTTGAATTTTTTTAGAGCCTCATTCATGTGTTTTGTTACTTCCTGTGCTATCAGTTCAGGCTGTCCAGGTGGTTGATTATCAGACTTTTCCACCTTGTTTTCCGCAGAGTTTGCCTTTTGTGGGGTGGAAGTCTGAGTTTGTGCCTTGCTTAAATGTCTTCTTATTTTTTTTGTTTTTGGTATTGTCCTTGGTTTAATTCCTGGGTTGATACTCTGAAGTTGCTTCTTGTAAGTATCTTTGTTGCTTTTAGTTAGAACCCCTATGGAATGATTGCTTCTCTGAGGTTTCTTCCAGATATAGCTGGTCTTTTAGGTTTTGAGTCTCTCATGGCTCTGAGGCTATCTCATTTTCATTATATCAGAAAGGACAATTGATTAGATCAATCACAACACCTTAGCCCAAGTGATACAATCAGCAACACCATAGAATCAAGTACATCTTACAAAATGACAATTTGTGGTAGCTATTAATCTATCACCTTTAACTGTGTGAATTAAATTAATATCAAGGACAAACCCAACATATGTTTGTAGTGAACAAACTTCAATATAGCAACTTTACCTTTCGGGATGGGGAATTAGAAGGAGTTGGGGAGGGAGGGATAGGTAGAAGAATAGGGGAAGGTTAGCAGTGAGGCCAGAGGATGCAGGCAAGAGAAGGAGAAAGAGAATAAAAGAAAAATAAAGAAGAAATATGCATTAGGGCCAGAACAGGAACACAAAAGGATATGAAGAACAATGTGGAACAGCAAGGGAGCAAGGCAGAGAGAGAAAGAAAAGAGAAAAGAAAGAAAAAACAGGAAAATAAAAATTTGAAAGGAGTAGAAAAAGAAATAAAGCATTAAATATAAGAGCAAAAAATACTAATAA